CTTTGGAGAATTCCCAGTAGTCTTTACTCTTGTGGTTCCGAGTGGCGGTTGCTGCTAAGCAAGACATTGCGAAACCTGTTTGAATGCATGGACTGGCCTTTGGGCTTTTCTCTTTCTTTTCCCGTTTGCTCTTCTTGTCCTTTTTGTCCTTCTTGGACTTCTTGTCTTTCGACCTTTTAGCCGCGGGAGATGGACTTCTTCTGCGCGGGGCCGGTGTCGCGGTTTCACCATGTTTAAATGGACACTTTTCACCCCTCTTGCAGTGGCCCTTAGCAAAGAACCTGCATGGTTTCTCAGATTTCTTGCCCCTACTTGAGCTTCTGGATGAGTTCCTCGAACTATTGCGGGAGGACATTCTCGACAAGCTTCGTGAACGACTTGACCTAAAAGAGGATCGACCACTCGAACTTGCGCTTCGCGATCGTGACGACTCCCGGCTAAGAGAGCGGGGACGGGTACTAGAGTCGTGCAAGTATTTGCATTTGCTTCCGTACTTGCACTTGCCAGTTTTGGCAAACTCAAAGCATTGATTGCTCCCGTCACCCTTTGTGCTCCTCTTGCCATAACTTGGGCTTCGCGTGCGCTTGTCGTGTGGTGCCGGATTCGCGTACTTAGCAGCATGCGATTGTGAGATCTTCTCACGATTGGTCCTTAGTCTTTCACGGTCAAGATATCGTCGAACAGAGTTAATGAGGAATTCATAACTTCTGTCACTACTCCCTTCCGCTGCACGTTCATAAACATCCAGGTCAAATCTGAGTTTACGGGACTTCCTGACCTCTCTATAGAACAAGTCTTTTAGGGTTGCCGGGTCCGGGACATGGCTCATTCCGGTCAACACGCTCTCCCATTTCCTTAGAAAGGATTTCAAGTCATCGCTGTCAAGCGAGATCTTCAGGAGGTCTTCCGTACCATACAGTGCACCCGCTTCTTCACTGGTCTTGAAGTGGACTTCAAACATGAGCAAAACCTGACGACCACGAACGATCCTACCCTGCTGTGCCTCAGATTCCTTGTAATTAAGGATTTGCTGAGACAGTTCGCCTTTGGCAACCTTAGTCAAAGCAGCAAGGAGTTTCGTGTCTAAGGTCCGAAACTTGCCTGGGTCAGCGAGTTCGGAACAAAGCTTTGCTTTGTCCTCCCGAACGGCGTACACCTCAAGCACCCATGCAAACGCAGCATCTGGGTCGTCGGACGCGGACCGTATCGCTTCGCGAACAGCGGCCCTCCAAGTGCGGTACCTGTCAGGACTCGGGAATTCAGGGAGATCTATCTTATCGGCCTCTTTTGCCTTGGGTTTGTCGGAATCTTTGCTTTTAGCGCCCTTAAACCCTTCTAGCAATGCCCTTCTGATGATTTCCCCTAAATCCTGATCTTGTGGAGTTCTTACCTGAGATGCCGGCCCTTCATCCTTGCGATCATCCTTTTTCTGTGCTGCATCCTGATTAAAGGAGCTTTTGTACAGTGGATCATCGCTGAAGTTGTACTGTGCCGACTTCATCTTGTAATCCATCCGCGGATCAGGTTGTTTGAACTGTTGCCCATCAGTTGAGGCTGTTGCCTGTTCATTTGACTTCGCCCCTGTCCCAGAGAACATTGAAGGAAATCCTGTGTTGCGATTTGTTGCAGAAGCATCCATCGCTGTCTTCATAGGAATTCCGGCTGGGTCTGTGGGCGAACCTCCTAAGGTTGCCGGAACTGTGCCTTCTGTACGAAGAGGTTCAAAGGAACGAGGTTGACCAACGGGATGAACATTCGGTTGAACGGGAGGTGGAGGTTGTTCTGGTTGCTGTGGCCCTGGTTTAACTGGGCTAGCGGCCTGAACTTTGCGCTCAGCTTCCTTGCGCTCCTCCTCCTTGTCCGACAAGGCCTGAACAACACGTCTAAGTTCATCCATTTCACCCTTCAATGCTACATTGTCTTTGCGAAGTTCACTGATCGTTTGATCCTGGGTTTCGCGGTCAACCGCATGTTGCGACTTAGTCGCCTCCATTTCACCAAGCAATGATTTAATCTTTGCTTGCGCAATTGCCAATGAACTGGACAACTCCTCACGCTTGAAGTCAAGGTCTATGGCAACACGTGCTTCCTCGGCTGAATTGAATCGAGCTTTGTCTGTTGCCTCCACTGCTGCCTTCAACTTTGCTTCTTGTTGTTGCGTGTATTGCTGATGTTCAGTTCGCATTCTCTCGACAAAAGCGTTGGTTTCTTCCTCCAAGGTACCCTTTTCCTGCTGAATTCTCTCATTAGCAGACGTGGCCTGAGCTAATCTTTGCTGAAAGTGCTCACGTTGTTCTTCAAGTGTGGTTTGTAGTCTTCTGATTGCCAAATTATCTTGATGTTGAGCCAACTGTTGCACGTTGTGTTCTTGTAGTTGAGCTCTTCGCTGCAAATTCAGCATTGCCTGCTCCGCCGCGGCCTTCGTCGCTGCTATCGATTCAGATGCTTCACTCTCATAGATGTGTCTGAACCGTAGTGCTTCATACTCAGCTTCTCGCCTAGCTTGCTCGTTGAGCAACAACTCATGTTGTTGTAACTCCCGTCGTAGTTCCTCGTCACCTGGCGTAGTGTTGAGGTTGACGACATTGAACCTGGTCATTGCCAACAAGTTGTTTACTGTTGGCGCACCAGCTACGGCGGCTGACGGCATACCTGCTAGGGTAGCTTGTGCCGCCTCTTGAAGAGTAACGCTACCACCACTGTTTAGCATTTCTTGGTATACCTCCGAGGCTACCCTTGGATCCATTGCAGCAACTTGTGCGACAGCCCTTTCGTGTCGCTGGACTGCGTCCACACTATTGGGTACACTCGGAATAATGTCAAAGCCATTTCCGTACGAGTTCGGTGCGGTGTCGTCATCCATCGGGTCCATAGCTCTAAACTTGCTAGCCTACGGCTGATAACCTGTATTTTACAGGATCAGCTCTATTTCCCTAGCTAACCCTGACTAGCCGTTAAGCGTACCTTTTGCTCTACCTTGAGAGTACACGCTACGGGGTCCATAGGGGTGAGAGGAATTTCAACAATTTGCTATAGCTCCAGAAGGATAACCGGGTTGTCCCGAAATCCACTCCAACACCTTTGGAAAAATGACACGGCACATCCTCACAAATAAACCATAATAAAAAGGGTTGTAAAAAGGGTTTTGGGATTCGTTTGTTGTGTCATGTTGTGTCACTTTACATCAGTTCATCTGAAAAGGATGCCTGTCTTCTTTGCGAATTTGGTGCCGGCTCTGCTGCCGCGGTGCCTAAGGTCACACTCCTCCTTTTGAACCGCTTGTTGTGGGGAAGAACATCTTCTCGTGTCGGTGTCATCAAAATCATGTCGGACAAAGGAAACAAACGTGCGGCACGTTTGACGTTCTGCCGCCATGAAAGCACCTTGAAACAAACCAGCTGGCAGAGAAAAACGACTGTTTCAACGGAGTTCCGTATCTCACTCCGGCTGCCAAACATGAATCAACGTTCCTAGTTGAGAGCTCTCCTGGTCCATCCTGGTCCTGCTATCTGTGCTTTACTCCTCACAGTTCTTCAACAGGATTGGCACGAGGGGCCACTGACATGACATAATCATGTTCATCGTTTCGCCAATAACAATTTAATGTAGGGATCCAAGCACCTTCTCAGAAGGTACTTGGACCCTCCAAACATAACAGTGTCTCCAATCACCGTACCTGAGAAGGTAATTGGATCCCTGGGGATAGGATCTCCCATAATTATATATCTGTATTGCTTTACTCCCGGATCGATGGTGTGTACGGAATGTTCGTAGTATCAGTATACGCCATCTTTGAGTATGGCTATGAATCAAAAGCCGGAAACCCTGGAGATCCTTGGAGTGTATAGCTCTGACATGATCTAACCCATCTGGATATACGCGCAGGACTCCAAATCCTTAACAACACCTTGACGAACCAACCTCCCCGCCCTCCCCGTGATGACGCTGATTGAGGCTTTGACTGACACCTTGGCCACCGCGTTCTTCTTGGGCAGCCGCATCGGAACCTAATTTCAGAGCGACCATTGGTTACAGTAATTGGCTGGGCTTAAAAGGAACAACCATGTAATGTGGTGATTCTTTTTAAAATGCAGGCAAGCATGCCATTGGAGATCACAAATGAGCCACAAAGTTCCGGCTTGCCAAACACTTCGAGATTGGACAATCATGGAAAATTGAATGGCGGGGTCAGTTGGCCCCCAAATGACTAAGACCTCGACCTCCAGTAGTTTTGTCCAATCTGGGCTCAACAAGATCATTGCATTCACCTTGTTTCATGACGCTTCTTGGAATACACGGCCCCAATCGCTTCACTTATAATATTCACAAATGACCTATTCAGGGCATCTAGCACAATGCCTATTCCAGGGGCAGAAGTGTGGAGACCTTGGACATCTTCTTCAGTCGAGTCGGAGATGGATCTGCAGGTCGGGCAGGAAGGGCAGGGACCTATGACGCGACCCGGTCGGACCCGAATCCTCTGGAGGGGTCGGACCCGAATAGACCCTGGAGGGGTCGGATCGAACCAATCCCTAGGTTTTGAGGGAGTCGGGCTGTGAACGGAGCGTCTGGGTATTATAATTTGTAATAGGTTACCAGGAGTCTACTAGAGGGGTTGTTTTTAGTATCTCAGTGAGTGGCACCCCATGGCACCCCTATCCTCCAATAGGGAACCCTGTGTGACTCCTGGTATAATAGTATATGTATGAGACATTTCGCAGCTGCCCAAAGTACCCAACATGTTCAGTCTGAGTCTGACCAAGAAACTTGGCGACTGTACCAGTTGGAGAGCGGTGGAGATGGTGAACAGTACTGGTCCGAACTTCGGCCATGGGAAGCCAGTGTTTCTGTCGACAGGTTGGTCGGCTGGGGTCTTTTTCTTGCAAACCTATTCGACTTTGCCTCACAACTGGAGATCACTGGTTCTGGATGAGTTGAGGCGCCAAGTTTTTCGGTCCAAAACCAAACGGTTGGGGCGATTGACTGCTCCCGAAGGCGATTTACGGCTGTCCAAAAGTATGGACAACTTCGACATCAGACCGCCAGGCAGCCAACATGGTCCGCAAGACTTTGGGCAAATCGGCATCCACCGTGAGCTTCACAGGTGCCAAAAGCTCATCGCCTGGGAAACGTGAGAAAGCAAAGTTGTCCAGTGTCCAGGTTGGAATGAGTGCCCTGGAATCTCCGCATGTTTGCAAGATCATCCCTATTGATCTTGGAAATATCCAAGTGGTAGTGAACCAACATCGCAATTCTATGTTCATACCTGAAAACACCTGTCATCAAACGGAGTTGGAGGACGTTTTCGCCCCAAACATCAGCTCAGCTGTGAAACGTGAACCCGCCCCAACCTCCAGCTTGGATGGCCAGCTGAGCGTCGACCCAAAGGTGCGTACCCCTGATGCGGCTGATGCAGCAGAGGTGTCTGTCTGGCGGGTTGCAATTGGGGGGAGCCATCAGCCAGTCCAGGGCACAAGGTTAACTAGCCATCAAAAAGCCACAGCTAACTCAGTACACCAACAATTCGTATCAAGACCTACATCCTGTCACTGTGATATCCCCGGCGCCATACCGATCTCTTCCTGCGCCGAAACAAAAAGACCTCGATGAACAGTCCGGGCGCCTGAATTCAATCTTCCAACTTCTGGAAGTCTGGAGATGCAACTGCAAACCTAGTGGAGCAGGCCACAGCAGGGAGTAGAGGACAAACACTGCGCAATCAACATCAACGGGGCCAATGGCTTCCCACCTGCCCATCAGCCCCGAAACAACTCACTCTGCTGCTGAATGGTCTGGCTGCAGAAATGAATGGTTTCCTGTGGAGGTCATATCATCCATCCAGCCGAATTAGTACATGATGTGTTTTGCATGTTTGGCATTTGAAGAACCTAGACTCTGCACGCCTCATCAGTATCTCGGAGTGAAGGGGTGAAAGACTTAGTGTATACATAGCTTGACTTCGCCCACCTCTCAAGTATATAGATAGTCAATGAAAAAATGGCTTCAAGTAAACTTCCGTATTGGCCCATGGGAGCTTCATTTTATACATAATATAGTCTTCACAAAATTGACTTCATCGATCCGTGTCAAGACTGTATTCTGGGCATTTATCGAAGAATGTGTTTACACCATCATTTTAAGTGCGTTGCCTACGCCGCCAAAAGACACAACTAGAACGAAGAATGACCCTTTCTAAACAAAGAATCACAAAGACGAAATCGTTTGAACTCTTCCAAACCCACTCAGCAGTTCTCCCGGATGCCAAACCCCTCTTCCTTCCACTCAAGCAGAATCCAACCGCCCAACGTCCAACGGCCCAACACCGACAAAGGCGGGTCGCTACCCCGCTTTCGGAGCGAGCCGCCTATGGACAGTTCTCTTCGGCCAGATGGATCCTGAAAGAGCACTTGGACATCCTCCACGGAAATCCTGGCACCAGCGATGAACCGCTCCTGGGCGGAGCGGTGGAGCGAGCAGAGCGGAGCGCGGGAACGAACGGCAGAGCGATGAGACCGTTCCTAGTGCGTTTGGAAACTGCTGCAGCGCAGTACCTGTTGAACTTCGTCAAAATAGACAGTTGACCTTGGAACTGCTGGTAAACCTACAAATTGCACAGTTAAGTACTTAATTGTCCTTCTTGAGCTGTTTAAGGGTTCAGCTTTTGCACTCTGTTCATATTGAGTCCGGGAGAAGGTTTCAGTATGTTTCAGTCTGTTATGTTAGTGGGAGCAAGACAAAAGATCTTTGCTTCGTGGGCTGACGGCGTCGTCGGCTTCGTCAGCGTCCGCGACTCGCTCGCGCCGCTTCTCTTGTCGAGTCCTCTCTTGGGCCAGGCAATGACGTATGTGAATATATCCCATACACGACCGATGGGACTGGAATATAGGCCGCCCCATTGACCCCCCTTTCACCACCACAACTGATCGGCAGTCCTATGGCAGTCCCAGGCAGGTCGTGTTTGGGTATTGAATATTCTTCAACCACTCTGTTTTCCGTGTTGCTTTTTCCCATAACATGGGGGTTAACATGGGGTTGTTCTGGTTCAGGCTCCCAAAGTCGGCAAAACTACCAGGTGATTTCCAACGTAACCTATCCATCCAATTAGTTACAGTAAGCAATTTGATGGTGTAAATGTCAGAATTGTTCTGTGACCATGCTTTGCCCTTACCGACCAATCTGAGTCCAGCAACCAGCAGGCGAGCCAGCACGCCCCCAGGTGTTCTAGGCTTCTTAGCCGCTGCAACAGCGCCTGCCACTATACTTGGTTGGGGTCATGTGGTGCATGGCCAGCTTTGGCACTCTGGGCAAATATGGACCACACATTTTTTTTAAAATCAATATATCATCTACTGTATATATATAATATACAGTAAAGCCAAGCTATCTTTGCAAGATCTTTCTGGCAACAGTCACAACTGGAAAGCTGTTGCTTCAAAAAGAACCAGTACTGTAGAATGTAGATCATTGTCAAAACAAATCGCAGCTTCTACGCATCCGATCAACAAAAAGCACATCGGAGAGTTGTCAAAACATCTGCGCGAACACAGAATATCTGCCTCCTTTGCAAATAGGAAGGAATAGAAGCAGCTTTTGAACAGCAATTTTAAATGCACTTCACATTTCACACTTGGTTATGGCTCAGGAAAAAACAACATCAATCCTGGCCCAATATATAACATGGGGTTATGGCTGGGGTATCACTAAAACTGACTTGACTGTGGACAAGAAAACACGTCGCGTTTGAGTCCTTTTTCTCGGTTTGAGAGGCACCGACACACGCGGGTCCATTCGGGTCCATCAACGGGTGACGGGGACGGTGGCCCTTGGTCTTTACACGACTTCGGGGGCTGTTGCACTGGTGAATTCCGGCAACCACGGGAGAAACAAAAGGCAGAGTCAACTGCAACAACAAACTACTGGAACATAGAAATCATATAGAACACTTGAGGTCCTCCGAGAACAAATCCAAAGGACATAGAGCTCGAGAAGATTCCTTGGAGAGACCGTTCAGTCTATAAGATGCCTCGTTCAGGGCCTGCAAGGATGGATAAAGCCAATCAATGAACTTCTCGTCCAACCACAGCCGCTCTGGACCCGGACTCAGCCTCACACCCTGCGGACCCTGCCTATGAACTTCCGTGCTTCGGACGCACTTGCATTCATGGCCTCCTCTCGGATCGCTTCCTCTCCAGACCACTGCGCCTCACAACTCCCACGGAGGGCGGTGCGTTTGATTCGCTCTGCAGCATCGAACGGCGTGTGTTCGCTCAAGCGTGGCCTTCAATCGATATCCTTTTCTTTCACGCTTGCCGACCTCTCCACCAATTGAAATCCATGGATTTGGTCTGTTGGACTAAATCCTCTACTCTGCCTCGTCTTGCTTAAAGGCAAACATCACAAACAACAAGAAAGACCACCAGCACGTGTCTGTGTCCACCAACCGTTGGGTCCGCACATCATGACGACGCCCATCGGCACCACGAAAAGACCAAATAGGACGACCCACCCGGTCGAGCATTTCTGTGGCTCCACGAAAGGAATCAACCAGTTGAGGGATCTGATGATCTCAATCTGGGTGTCCGGGAGCATCCGACGTTCGGTTGGTGTCCTGTTTGTGGACTACCCCTGGACTACCCAGCCCACTACTGGGAGACACACGGATGGTACAAAGCCTTCGTTCTGCAATCAGCCTCGTCGGGCAAGCGCTCCATCGTCATCGTCACCATGTGCGCATGGATCCGGATGCCAACCAGGAATCCTCCCGTGCAAGGTCTTCACATGGTCCGTGTCATGACAACAAGCGGTGTTTCACGTCTAATGTGGGAAGCCAACAGCCAACCATGACTCACCGTTTTTCTTGGAAGCAATCCATTTTGCAGTCAGAGAATCCATGTGTATGGAGCCATCCAGAAGCTCAACTACATAGCGACACAGCTCTACAAACAGGGATTGGTTCCCTTCTCCTCCTCTTCATTGCACCACCGGTGCTGGAACCAGGACGACATCACCCCCCCAAAAAAGACAAAACAATCACAGCTCAAGACGGTGTCTTCACAAGAGCACATACCTACATGTTGGTGCTCTGGTGCTCTATTCACAGCCATATTCACCTGGTACCTACACAATCATGCACATACCTATAGACCCAATAGATAGAAAAGTCTATAGATCCCCACTAAATAATATGTTTTTTAACCGTGCCACTATCTATTTGGGGATCACTTGTTTTTTTCCAGTCACTGCTGTGAGCACCACCTGCGCTTGTCCATCTCGCCGCGCTGTCCGCCGTTCTCCGCCTATCGACACTGAGAGGTATCCGATTTCCACGCCCAGCGCTCTGAAAGGCAATGAGCTGGCCAAGGCATCGCTGATCACTTGCAGTGCTCGCTCCCGCAACGATGTCCTGGGGAAGACCACGAGTCCACTGGTCACATGAGTCTACTGGTTGCATCCCATGTCCTTTAGAGCCTTAGAATAGCCTTAGAATGCACAACTTCATGAAACATTGGGATAATTCATGATAATTCATCAAACTCAAAGTACAACGAGCTGCGCCAAAGCACATCGGCTTGAAGAAAAGGGGTAACAATATCTGGAACCACATTGGCACATCGGGTTCTGTTCCACAAACTGATATGATATGAACGTTTATTCCAGAAACTGGAAAGAAACCTGGTCAACCTGACCGGGAATCCTTCAAACTGGACCTACCCAGAGGACGGGAACAAAGGACGACGCTGCATACCACCGGTGAGTATGTGTGTGGCACGACCACAAGCTTCCGATCCACCAGGTGGTCCAACTCAAAGACTTTGCCAAGCTTGAAAGTGCCATGTGCAACTGTGGCAGAAGACATGTTCGTATCAAAGCAATAAAGGGTTCTGCTGTGGCAGTCTACAGTGTGGAAGTCCACTGGATGGTGACATCTTGCCCTGAGACCTAAGACTCCAGGAGACCAAACACGACGGCCTTTGAGGGTCAATGTTGCTTGGTATGGAGGGTCCGTCCTGGGCTATTGGCGGTCCGAGGATTGTTAAAGCCTTCTCCGCCAACCCACGGGATGGGAGTTATCTAATCATTTAGGCCCTTCGGCACTCAAACAAACTGTGCAGCCCACGCTAAGCCATGGATATCATTGATTCATTGACATCATGTTTTTTCAGATGTTCTTTACACTGTACACAGAGTGTCACATTGTGCGGATCAAACGTACGAGACTCTGGAGGCTGTGGGAGGCTCAGACTCTCTTCCCGAAGAAACCCCTCCTTCGCAACTCGATGAGGTGCAAGAAGCCAAAGGTCGGGCCTGAGTCGCCGCTGCGAACGACACCAGTCACAGCTGGCAGGTCGAAGAGTTGGCGTCTCGTTCTTTTTTTAAATTGTTCGCCCCGACTGAAATGGAATGGGCTGGAAACAAAAGGGCACTGTGACACCGTGAATGTTGGTATCCCCTGAAAGTACTCATTCATGACAGGCACATTGCGATGATCTCCAACCTCACAAAAACAGACTGTGAAAGCGTCCAGCCTTGCCTTGTGAAAGCCATTCTCGGCAAAAGGGCCATGCCAACTTGCCCAGACTCTTCCTGAAAGTGCTCAGATTCAGTGTGGGGAGTCTCACTTTCTTTTTGAATTATTGCTGGAAGAACATGGTGAACAACATGTACATCATGCCGCAACTTGCAGGCCTTTGTCGTCCATTCAAGTGGCGCCGGGTTTCTGAAAGCAAAACAGCAGTAGGAACCAGGTGCGTTGTACATTCTGTCTGGGCTGGGGGATGGTTTGTATGAAGACTTTGCAATTCAATACTATGCATTGCTTTGGAATGCTCTGTGTGGCAGGTGTTGGAGAATGGCACCCATCATTGATTCACAACGGTTTCTGAGATTGCTATGACAAATTCAATTATCAACACACGAGAAAGGAAGTCACTGAACTGACTTTGACAACCACCTGAATCTCAACTCAATTTAACAACCACCACAATTGACTTTTGCAAACCTCAACTGACTTGATACCACCTGAACTTGTTTGGAGAACACCCCAATGATAATATAGAAAACTATAGACAACTCAGTGATGAAGAGTCAAGATGACACAGTGCGAGGGCTGCCCTTACCTAAGATGTCTCATGCCAGATCTTCCGCCATTCCTTCTGTCTCCCCCCAAAAGTGACAGGGAGTTGTTTGGATCAGTTTGGATGTAACTCCTCATTCCAGTGAGTCAAGAGCTGGCCGATCACGGGACCGGTCTCCGAGATGACACGGGTCCCGTGTCCGGTGTAGCCGTCTTACAGGCTCCACTCGTCGCGGTTGTTTGAAATAAGGGAAGAAGCATCTGGAATCAGTGCGCATGTATATCTATGGATGTGTGCAAAAGCTAAGCGACTCAAACATGTGTGTTCTGTGAACACATCAACTTGTTCAACGATTGTCGTTTCCTGATAAGCTTCTTTGTTATTTAGGTATAGTAAAGCAATCTGTATAGAGTCTATAGAGGTACGTTTGCTCAGATATATCACTGAACCGTACCAAACCAGGGAAAGCAGTCGACCTCCTCTACCAGGTCTACCTCTTACCGTTGCTACCCTGCCACGTTTGCTCGTTCGCGTGGCTGGAGAATGCGAGACGCATGCGAAGAAGCTCCGCCGTCGTCGGGAGAATCCTTCGTCCAAGCATCCAGAAAGCAGCAAGGAGGGCCGCCAAGCCTATGATGAGCTGTATCATGGCAGTGCTCCAGGGTTGCTCCCAGAGGTTCCCTTTTGGGTTGGATGTCAGGACGTGAGGCTCGTGAGGGCTGTCTGGGCGGGGCATTGGAACGCGCAGACTGGGAAGACTGGGGGCTGGCGCATGCTGGTGGTTTCCTTGATTCTTTCCGAAAGAGAGCGTGGATTCTTGTGATCGATGTGAAGCACATTGAAGCACTATGCGGAGCAACCCTGGAGACTATACTATGTACAAAATCTGTCCGAAGTAGACTTCATAGGGCGCGGCGAGAGTTGATAATTCGCTCTGTCAGAGTCATCACTCTGTGCCATTGCCTCGTTTGCTGTGGCACTCACACTTGCGACTTTTCTCCCTACCCTGCTAACGTGGAGCTGCTGCCATCCAAATAAGCCGAACAGCTCCCAACGATTGAGACCACGTGACTCTCATGTCGACTCACCAGGCTTGTTCAGCGAATGGAGTTTGCATTCTTTTGGGATGAACAGCATGACAACCATCGGAGGTACAGTAAGTGGCTCAAGAGTCGGGGCTTCTCGGGGTGGTCGTTTCGCCGATTTGTGGCCTAGAAAGAGCTGCCATTCTGAAAAATGACATGTGGTGGAGCATTCCAAAAAAACACAGCCTCCCATCCATTTCTCTTCCAACTCTCAAACAGGTTCCTTTGATCCTAAGGGGTATGGATTCAGTGCGAGATGGATTCAGCGCTCAGTTTCAGGGAAGGATGACAAACATCGTCACCCATTTTGTGAAAACATTCCCGTTTCTCAGGTGGCAGTGGATCCACCAAAAAGGGTGTTACTTGGCGGCTTGGAGGCAACAAAATCTGTCAGCCCAAGCTGGAACAAGTCCGCGTGATCGTTGAAAGCATGTCAGTGGTCGTTCACGGTCTTTGGTGATCGAAACCACTATGTAATATAACGATAGTTGCTTATGATTGTAGATTTACGGCATTGAACATAACATACAATTTCAGGTGCTCTATTGCATAGATGCTGTTCAGAAAGCCAGAATCACGACAAATTCTTGATCAGCAAAGTCGGCCGTGGCAGTCATGCAGCCGAAACATGTCATCGTCACTAATCCACACTGACATCAGCCCCTTTTTCTCATCTTTTGTTTCCACGCATCATGTTCTCAACGAGTTGATCCTGTACCTCCAAGAGGATGTCGTTTCAATCCTCTGAGATCCTAAGACCTAAGACCCAACCGATCGACCTCCGCCGATCGGAACCCTTCACGGCTGGAAGTCGGCACCCGCAGAAATGAAGGAGAAGGCCTTCCGTTCGCGATGGAGGTCAAACTGCTGGAGAACACCAAAACATCTTACAAGACACATATGATGTTTTCCTGGAGGATCATATCGGCTCATTTGCCCCTGTTTTGGACACATCAGAAGTGAAGAGTCAGCAATTCCGAACTCGCATTACAAGAAGTGTTCTTTCGTTTGTGCCTATCTACCACGGCTTTGGCGCGCAAAGAGTTTAAATCCCCGACTGACAGCTAGCCGCTAACACAACAAGGTGTAGAACGTTGACACAGTGACAAACCCAATCTTGCATCCAACACTTGGATGTGGAAAAAAATACAAACATATTGCAAACAGGGGTTTGACTCATAGTGAAAATAGAAATCATCCTATAAACCAAAGCAATATTGCCCACTTTCTTCGATGCCTATTTGTTTTTCCAAAAAATAACTAAACAAAAAGAGAAACATCATCCAACTAAGGCTCAGACTACTTCCTCTCATCGCTTCTCCATCATACCGGGAAGAGCGAAGACCTGCGAGGCTTGGCACCGGCAGTCGACGAAGCTCCACCGCCCGCTTCGTAACGGAGCTCCCGCTTCGTCACCCACGAAATGTTTCGTCACAGCTTCATGTCACGGTCTAGCTTCTTGCTACTAGTAGCGTTCTTGCTCCTAGTAGTGATGCCTTTGCTCCTAGTAGCTTCTTGTTCCCAATAATGAAGGGACATTTTCAGGGACCACTTGGTGTCCAAGAGCCTCCTTTATTTTCAGAGGCTGGTGATCAGAAATTTGATGTCCGGGTTTTCCGGGTTTTGGCTTGTCCTTGGAATCCGGAGTCCTTTCCACTCCCTGATGCGGAGCCCGTGACACCACAGCCCGACGATTTTTGCTCATCTTCCACAGGTGACAGGTCGACTTCTTATATGGAAACTTGATGCTCTACGACCAAAGTCACTCTACAAACCCAAAGAACCAACTCTTTACCGAACTACTCAAAGAACTTCGTCGACTTCGTCCAACAAAGCCAGCTTCCATTCCACATCTTCCTCACAACGACTCCCTCCCAGCAAAAAATATCAGCAATCCCTGACATTAGACTTCAGGAAGAGCCCAACTGTTGCTGCAATACGTCTTCGACCTCTCAAATTAGCCTCTTGGAGGCTAAAATATGATCTATGTACATTGCATAGAAATCGATTGCAGGATGTTTGAAGGGATGGTGTTGAGATCCATATCGATCCTGTGGTCCATTTCTATGGCAAGTTCAGGATCTGCAGCCGCTGCAGCCGCCGCGGCCTGGCCACACAAACCCGAGGCCCAGCAGCACTTCCCTATCGCAAAGATCAGCACTGTATCGAACTTACGTCATATGGGCAGTTCAAGTATAGGATAGTGGATTGAGAGTAGATGGCACAGACCCCAAGAGGTGGTTTATATATGGACCCCCATCTAAAGGAAATCATGGGGTCTGTGCCATCTACTCCAACATCGTCCGGACATTCCGTATGCGGAGTTCCTTTGGCCAGGCTGTGTTCAGCATGTGAAAGCATACATCACACATTGGGTTTTTCAGCACAGGTGTAACAGCTCCTGCTGCATCGTGGTTCTAAAAATGCTTGATGCGCAGTTTGAACCCTGTGTACCTGGACGTAGTGTTGTTTCATCTACAAAAAAACAAAGGAAAGGTGGAAGAAGGTTCACCTTTTGTTCTCGGAAACTGAATGGGGTCAGCTATGGTCGTTCAATCCAGAACGACGTTGAGGAGAGTTGAGCGAGGCATACACATGCTGGGTGGACAAGATCTGATTCTTCCACTGAGTGCGTACTTCGTGTACAGCAGCTGCGATGTTTGATTGAAGGTACACCCCGTGAGGTTCAACTTAGAACCAATGGTTCCCAGGACTTCAAAGCTAGGATGCTGGGATAGATCCAATACTTCTCCCTGATTCCTTTGCCTCCACAACTTTGTCTCCTCTTTTGGCAGCTCTTTTTACTTGTAGCGGAGGATTTCACAGGTGGTGCCCATTCCGAGCTCTTGAAAAGTGTAGCTCTGCCAAAGTTTTGTGGTGCGATGTTTTGTCGGTCAAGACAAGCCATTGCACAAACATGGGTCCTTCATGCTCCTTCGATCAAGCTTTCACCCGAAACCGAAGAGCATACTTTGAACTCATTGAACTGCAACCAATCCTAAACTGGCTGGTACATGTAGGTCACATTTTCATACATCGAGCGACCTGGGATTTGTTCTGCTGCAATTACTGCACCTCCCCCACAGGTCCCGGTTGATCTAGCTCTTCCAAACAGCCAAGGCCTCACAGTCCTCACAAATCATCTATCATCTACCATCACCGTTCGATCCAGCACAACTAGTTCAAATCAATGGAAATCAAACCTACCAGTATACGGCTACGATCGACTATACTCATAGCAGCGGCTAGCAGCTGGTGGGGCTGCGGGTGCCCACTATTTTCCTTCGCTCCTCGTCTTGTGGATTTGGTTCATGGCACACGTCTTGCGGTAAAAGGTGATCCTTTCCGAAAGCCTCTGACATGTCCAGACACATCCTCCGTCGTAGAAAAATGAGCGGTTCGCCACGAGTTGTGTACGGCGGCGTATGGTGTGTTGCCCCCACACCATCTGTTTTTGGGTGGGGATGGGGAGGGAATGGAACCAGTAACCAGAGGGATGGGATGGGATTTGATGCAGGAATTCTTGAAGCACCATCCCACCGAAAGCGTGGAAACCTAAAGCGTCGAAATCCGCTTCAACTGGATGCGGTGGAAGTGAAATCCACCAACCGGTAATCGAGATGCCCAGTGACGGAGCTAAAACGAGAACGTTCATTTTTGGGTGATGTCCACCCTTACCTTATAGGGACTATATGGGACTATATATATATATAAATGGGGTTGTATCTACCAGGTACCCTAAAAGCGCTTCTACCACCGGGGATTCCTCTCTAAATTGATGAACCAACCAACCAAGGCTGTGAAAGTACATGATTCGTGCTCAGCGACCAGTACATCGAGCTGAAGCATCTGGTGGGCGTCTTGGCATGCTCGAGTCTCACGCGAGCCCAGTGAGATCACACTGTGGCAACTGTTGTGACTCAAGTAGCAACCAAAACAACCCCCAAACAACCTTGATGTTCTCCAGGATCAACTCGCAGTAAGAGCCACATCTGTGTTGGCCTCTTATGAAGATTTTGTCATATTGCAAGGAATTCATCCTAGATTCATCCCACAGAGGTCTTTTGCTCTAGATGCAAGCTTCACCACCCAGGAGAGAATCAATCCGCGCGATTGGTTTCACCAGCCTCACCGGCAGGCATGATGCACGCGATCGGTCATTTCGGCCAGGAATTCCTGGCAGAACTTGAAGTTCTCCAGGCCGGTCAGGGCAATTCACAAAAATACAGGCCGGTCAGGTGGTTTTTCAACGAGCGACCGCCAATGAATGCTTGTGGCAGCATCCATGACAAACCAGCAAGGACCAGCATGACACTAGCAAAGACATGGAACATGGATCACGATGGATAGAAACATAATCATTCCTATGAATCCTATGCTGATGACTCCTGTGAAGCCTAGATACTATACATGATATTTCTCAACATGTCTAAGACACCCCTCTTGTAAGGACTGCTCTCGACTCACCTCCCAGGTAATGCGACCGCTGCCACCGGTGTTGATCTCCTGAGCGAGCCAAAAGGGATCACAGTGACCGGTTTTCCAGAAAAAGACTGGGCGGGAACTATCATGACTCATGACTCTATATCACCTATCTACCAAAGCAAAGAGAGGGGGATTGCTGTGAGGGCACACTGTTTTGCACTCGTTTTCCATGGTTTTTTGGGTGAGGTTTGAAGGATTTGGCTTAAGTTTGCCCTTCTCAAAAGACCGGGATGGGTACGTTTACCGAGCTTCGACCCATTTTTTTCTCACTGGGTGGGACTACCGGTCCACTCTCCACGAAACGAACCCAGACGGGAAGGAGTGCAGAATAGAACTCAATCCCAGGGATCCAATAGGTGCTATAGGGATCACAATAAACAATCAGAACATCACTACCAGTCCCCAAATCACCAACCCAAACTCCAGTCATGGCACCACTCACCTAAGTCAGAGGTATTATTTTTTTCCATCCATTTCGGGATGGAATGATGGCACCTGAGACATCCCCTGGCCCTTCCCCTACACCTCCAAGTACCTCAGAAGGTATTTAGACCCTCCTGGCACCCACCCCAAACACCGAACCGAAACGAAGGTACGACTGGAGGGTCTAAGACCCTGGGGCTTCGCGTGGCTTTGAGTCGAACACCTTCGAAGCGCGGTGACTAACACCCTCCGCCCCGTCGACGCCTCCGGTGTGGTCGGGTCCGATCTGTCGGACGGAGACGGGGGTGGAGTCAAGGGGGTCGAGTCTAAGAAGTCTGAGAAGTCCAAAGAATCAATCAAAACACAGGGCCCTAGGACGGTCTCTTAGGACCCTCAGCATTTCCTCCCAATGTCCACTCAGTGGACCCTGTTTGGTCTTAGAATGGTCTTTGCAGGGGTCAGGACGTCCACTTCCATGATTGTTGGAGAGAGGGTCAATGCCAATGGTCTTTGCAAGAAGCCTCTGTTTGCCGCAATACGCCGCCAATCAAACATCAGGGCGGGACGCGAATTGAAGTGTGCCTCGACGTCTCTGAACCAAGCCCCACATGGAGCCACGACGGCTCGTTGAGACAAACCTTGACTTGCCAAGAATCCTTGGGATCTGACTTCCAATTTAAGTTCTGGAGTTCTGGATGACTTGCTGGTTTTGATTGTACAACCTGATTCCTGGAGTGCGTCGGAGTAGTTTGTTGCACCAATCTCAAGTAAGAAAGCCAAATGATTCAGCTATAGGCCCACAAAGGACACCATCAAGCATTTGTGTGGAGTCAGTTGTATTGTCCCATTCTTGAAAACAAGCGTGGTCAACATCTTGTGTTTTGACTTGTCAGCTGTGATCAACATCTCGCAATCCAGTCTAGTTGGTTGACAGCTCACAGGGGAGATATGGGGAGATAGATCCATGTAATCCCAAAAGCGTGGCAGTGGAAAGTGCATGGAAGCAGTACCAGCAAATCCATGTATGAAATATGTTTGTATGTATGTTACTGTATGTATATGTATACGTAATTTTTTATACTGTATAACACTACTACTATACAACTCAATATTGCTAAACCATTCAATAACGGCCGACTTTTGATTTGAAGGGCAGCGTGTGTAGATTGCATGTTGAAATGCATGTGTGGGAATGTATATAGTATACAGTACATATAACTTACCATAATATGTCTGATTGAAATCTGCATGGACCTCAATGTACATATGCCAGTCCCATGTATTCTCTATACCGTTGCGGCTCGCTTCACAGATTAACCAGGACAAGTCTCTCTAAAGGTCTCGTCCAGATCACCCTGGCCAGGTGGCCGGACACTCTGTTTCCACAGCACTGATGGAAGTAAGGCCACACCACTTGGAAGCAAACCATGACTATCAAAAGAACTGATAGAAGCTTGTGGCTTTCATCTGTCCAACACCGCTATCCACGTGTCACTGTGAACCACACACCAAGAGTAGTAGTCAACAGTCTTGCAAACAGGATCACAGTCGACTAATCTGGGCCTGTTGGTCTTGCAGGACGTCTTCCTTCCACAAGATATCTCTATGAAACCCGCAGGGTCCGGAACGCAGATCTGTCGCTGAGTGTCAGTCGGGTGAAATGCATCAAATCGAGCACAGCACTCTGCACACCTGGATTTGGGTTGAAGCTAGCTGGGCATCTTGCGCAGTTGCAACTGTTGGGAGCATCTTCAAACAGCGGAAAAAGCTGCTCACCCATTGACCAACGAACACCTTGAAAACAACACAAGAAAAACAACCAACTATCGTCACCCGACTGCCGTTGTCGCGCGACTGAAATCAGCGCCCGCGAAGAACGCGATCGAAATGGTTCACCTCTTCATCTTCCGGGGGCTGGTCGATGGCCTTCAGCAAATCCAGGAGTTGCCACTTATCGATCTGGCCCTGACCGGGTATCGCACGTATCCGGGTGTCACTGGTCAGTATGGCGAACTAGTACTGTATGCGTCTTCGCTGGGAGATTCTGCAACACAGTGAAACCTCTGCCAATGATTTAACAATTGGGCTAGGAGCGGAGTGCTCTGATAAGTTGGATGCCCGATACACTTTCTACCTCTTTTGCAATTTGACAAACAACAAATGTCAACTGTATAAGGTCCGAAGGTCCAAGGCTTTCATGGCACAAAAGACCTGCCACTTCGTTCAAAGAAAAATTGTACACTCTAAACAGGCGCCCTCCCCCCCAAACGAAGTGGATGGCACAGCTCCGCGAGTCCTGTTTTTCCCGATCAAACAGGATCAAACAGGTTCTTGTTCACTAGCTTCTTGTTACTTAGTAGCGATGGCCTCCAACCTAATACCGATGGCCTCCACCTGGTAGCTTCTTGCTACTAGTAGCAAACAACAATGCTTGGTTCTTTTTGCCCTCCACATTCCATGATTCTTGGAGCCGGGGCTGTGTTCGTACATATCATGTAGGCTGTACTCATGTAGGCTGTGTCAACCCCATGTGAAGAGATTTTGCAATCATCCACAGGGGTTGTTTTACTCATCCAAATTCTACATGAAGCTACTAGTAACAAGGGCATCGCTACTAGTAACAAGTGCATTACTACTAGTAGCAAGAAGCTACTAGTAGTAATGCCCTTATTACTAGTAGCGATGAACTTCTTCCTACTAGCTTCTTATTCATCCAGATTCTACATCACAGCATCTCCCAAACACTCCATTTCCATGCTGTGATGGCGACCTACATGACTCCACCCGATGCCTAACCGAACCACCCGTATCTACCGTTTCACCTGCCGAGTGGTCACACGCTGGCCGGGGTACACTGTGACACGGGGTACACACGGTGACACCGTCATGTGTCCTCATGTCTCGAGCAAAGAGAGGAAACAGTTGGACTCAAAGAGCCGTTTGATGGACTCTGTGCCAGAGTGATCTGGAATCTGGTTTCATGGAATCTTTAAAAGGTTTGATGGAATCTGAAAGCAAGGTGCGTCATCTTGCTGCATAATCCCACTTCTATACATGGGCGGCAGTGGAAAATACAAGGGACCCTAAGTTCGAAATTCAAATCTATCGTCAAGTAGGTGCAACATGTCCTATAGGTCCTGCGAAGGTACAACATGGCTGTGGCCAAACATGTGTACCCATCCAACCCACCCAAACCTATGTGGTTCCTGCGTCTTGTTTTTGCATGTTTTAGCTGCATAAACATTGCTCCGCAGCTGTTTTGAGCACGGCGCACGAACATCTCACCATCAGCTGAATTTTGCATTGTCCTGTTGATGAGCACCTACCCAAATGAGACAGTACAGCCAATTGATCTCAGTCTCGCTGTGATTGAGATTCTTCAGCCAGCCATATATACGTAGAGGCTTGCAATGGGCTACGCATGAAAGGGTCGCACTCAGATTGTAGGACTGCAAGTAGAAAACAGTTGGAGAAATACAATCGTTCTCTGGCATATCTGCTGAAGGGGCACACGACCATTCTCAACCTGTTTCTCGAATTAGTCCGAATTAGTTCCATTGCTAATCATATAAATGCCAAGTCCAAGTACCAGGGGAGGGACTCTAGAAGAAATCAGGATCGAACATTTAATGCATCCAAGGTCTTTCGACATCAAATGTCCCATTTTTCGTGGCTTTGTTGTCCAATGGGACAACCCAAGCGATTTTCCTTGGCTTTGCCTTTTCTGCCTCTTTGGAACAACCTCAGCTTGTTCAAGGGATTTGTTGCTTGTGGCAGCGTCTGAGATGTGATCTTGGGTGATAATTGGTCAGCAAAATCCCTTGTCTTCTCCAGCCTATATTGTCGGGGATTCTCAGGCTATCACTGGGATGGGCATGGGGAAGCTACCTGAAAAATCATCTGGCCATCTTTGAGGCTTGAATCATCTGGGATTGTCTCATCATTATGATACAACGTACACAAACACTCCCCCGGCCATCGGCAGCGGGATTTCGAAGATTTTGCGTAATCAATCAGAACGCGCTCATGGTACAGCAAACATGAAGTTGCAATGTTATTTCCTCCACGACACTAGATAGAAGCAATTTGAGTCTTGAGCAAAAACAATGGATCGATGTAGCTGCTCTACACCAGACCATCTAATCTGTTCATAAGTCTGTCAGGGAGCGCACGAATTCCATGCAAAACCCGAAACCTGTGTTAAATGGACAGACTATCTCAGCGTCGCAAGGTGGGCGAGACCCAGCGAAGATCACCTTGATATCCACCTGACAAAAGGGGTCTGCTCAAGAGAAAAGATTGAAAGTGACAGGGCGAACATGACAAAATAGACCGGACACGGGATTGGATGATAGCGAGTTCCCCTATTGGATGGAATAACAATTCTTCGCAAGGAGGCCTGAGAAAACCTCACACAAATGACGGTCACTGAAAAAGTGCAGAATTACAAAAGGAACTTTCAAAAACCATAAAACAATTAAATTGCCAAGAGATAAATAAACAACAAAAGGGGGGTTGGGCCAGTCAAGTGCTTATACAATGCTATTATATTTAGATATTATATATGTATGTATATATATATGTATTATATATTTGTGATAATATATATATATATATGATTATTGTGATTTATTGTTGTTGCTCTTAACTTTAACATACTTTAACTACTGTTCTCCTCCCAAGGCACAAATGCAAAGCGTGTGAGCCTTGCAGGTGCAGGAAATGGGAAGCTTCTCCGGTCTGACATAGTTCACCCTCACGGGCATGCCACGAGGTGGAGGCTTGAATTTGGGCTTCACAGTGGAGGCGGCCATGTCCCGCTGCTGAAGAAAACTCCAGTTACCTAAACGTGGCTTGGGCCGGGACTCTGTGGTGCCTGTGCCAAGCGATTTCGGCGGCGAAAAGGGTTGAAGCAAACATTCACGCTGTGTGCAACCCCACTACCCTCTACACGTGCGCACTAGCATCATTTCTTGCTCATCTGTGCGTCAACAGTCAACCCAGCAATATTACTTGATGTTTGCCGTCATACATGAACGTACATGAACTAAAATGCACACACAAGACTGAACACACATGTAGATGTCCATGTAAATGTTATTGTAATAATATGAACGAGTAAAATCAAATTTACATACATTGATTTCCAGCCTCTTACAACCATGTGTGCATCATGTCCGAATCTGTCAAAGACAGGTTGCCTGGCAAAGACTTGCTTCGCTTTGCTTTGGGCATCTTCGCCGGCATCGTCTGAGTCTCCACTGACTTCACCTCCGTCCTCACTGAACCGTCCTCCGGTCGAGCTGAGCGAACGCGAAGCGTCGCTTCGCTGGTCTGGGGCTCCACCTCAACGAACTCCTTTCCTAATTGGCGGTTTCAACTGTCAACTCACTTGAAAAAAATATGAGTCAGTGGGATCATCTCAAGTAAAGGTTGAACAGTTGATTTAGATGTGTTTAAAGAAGAAACTTCTCAAAATTTATATCAAAAAACAGCACCCAGCGTCGCTGCGTTGCCTCCACCACAGGCTCCACGCTGCGCGCCCGTGGCTCCACCCTTTGCAGGATCTCTGGTGCAGGCGCGGCCACGGCGGCTGGGGCGGCCGCCACAGCGGCCGGGGCGGCCGCCATGGCGGCCGGGGCGGCCATGGCGGCTGGAGTGGCCACGGCGGCTGGAGTGGCCACGGCGGCTGGCGGCGGTACTGCCGTGGTGGGATGGTATCGGCATTCTGGACTCTGGGGCTCATCGAACCACACCATGGCCTTCTTGAAGTCTGCGGATTCCCGGGGCTCGGACAAGACCCGGCGGCCATAGGGCCGGAAGGAACGATCCGAAGGTGCTTCCACCTGGTGCTTGATCAGGGAATCCACTTGCGAGCCACCGAACGTGGCAGCCCATGCACCTGGGAGCTGTCGGACATACCAGCGATTCTCGGTCTCATGTCGGATGGCTTCTTTCCACCATGCATCGGCCGGGGCCAAGTTCATATCTGGTTGATACCAGCCACAGCTACATGAGCAGCAGGTGTGGGCCAAGCAGGGCTGAGCCATGGCACAGCGGAAGCTTTGTGCTTCCGGACTTCTTTAGAAGGTATGCTGCACTGATGCCAATCATTGCAGATCTACCCTTCACAAGGCTGAGTAATCAAACTTTTGGTAAAAACGGAGGCATGTAGAACATCCTCAAGTGTATGCACTTCTATTCAATTGCCATACATCTGGGGGCTGTTGATCCATTTCCGGCTGGATTCTTCAAAACAGCCACGCCACACGGTATACAATTTCAGGCCAACATTCACGATGATGTACAATCCCTCTAGTCCCAACTCCCAACATTCACAGAAGCTGCACAGAACACAGGCCCTTCGTAGAAGGAAACCCAGAAACACTGAGTTTGGCGAGCGAACTCTCTGAGTTGATCCCAGTCTCCAAGTCATTGGGTGTCATTGGTCCCCAGCCTGGTGTGGCATGGCATAGCGATCCCATAGGGATTTCAACACCTTCTCCTCTTCGGCGCTGGGACCCTGGAACTGCCGTCGCCTGGAGCGCCCACATCAGGCAAGATCCGAAGCAATCCGAAGTCGGAGGGGGCCGCTTAACCCAATCTTTCCTGAAATCCACTCCCAAAAAACATCGGGTCCATGAGCGTCTAGACATGGCGGAGTGGCTTTTGATTCAGCAAGAAGTGGCCTGGTATTCTTCGTCGCCATGAGTCGTGCTGAGTGCTCATAGTGCTCATAGTGCTCATTTGTGCTTTAAAAAAAGAAAACACCTTGGAAGATCCTGCAACTCTATGACATTGAAAACAACACTTCAGAAATCTTCGGAAAGCCGACCCCTCAACTAGGAAGCCTCATGAACACCATCAATGACCTAATGACCTAATGATCAGACTATGCTCGGAGGAAGCGATTTGCACCGGAAAGACAGCGCCGTCCGTTGTGAGTGACGCCCATCTTGCCTGCATCGCTCCACCATCTGACCAAAAATATCCTGGGAAGGGTGGTGATCAGATTTGTGCTTCCCACAAGGAAATTTCACTGTAAGCTGACTTAATTTTAAACGTGGTAATCTTGAGTCATCTATTAGGATCATATTCAATATTGAGTAATAATATGTAATAATATCCAATTACAGTATGTGAGTCGGCGCCTTTTCCGGGAGAAAGTACAACAACTGAAGGAGCTTTTGATGATCTTCCGTGCTTTACGATCATGGACCTTACGGTCCCTATGCTCACTTGGAGCAACTTGTGAACTTTCCTTCTTGGCTGCGATGCAGTGCTATCCTACTCACTTAAATGAAGTGAAGCACCTGAGTGTGAAGCTTCCTACGCTTCTGCTCCCTGATTGCATGGTCAACCCGCGCAGGCAGTGCCTGGAACCGCTCGTGAAAGTAGATTCGCTCATAGACCACGATGAACTCGGGATATACCTTCAATAAGCCACAGCAAATTCACCCGGACAATTCCAGGGGCGACTAAACTACCCAAAGAGCTTTCATTGCATACCCGTTGGATGGAGAGGCAGGATGGAGAAGAGTAAAGCCAGATTCAGGACGAAGGAGACTATTTGGTGACTCCGAGGATTTGAGGGGATGTTCATTCATTAATTGCACTGGCGTATTGCCAAACAGGGTACTGGCTGAACCTTCAAGTAACACATCTTTGCACCCTGGCATTGGGCATTGGCACGGTCAGAGAAACTATTTTTAGGCTCCAAAGCCTAGAAAGGAACCTGCCAAACTTGTGCCACTGCAATGATGAGGATCGCGCTCGATACTGGTCTGGAAGTTGGCCAGTTCCGATCTCACCAAGCATTTCAACTGCGAAGCCAGCTAGGTCCCCGGTCCATGTCCATGGCCGGTCCACATCATCTACGATCGATGCGAATCCAGTGCCCTCCAGTGATGGTATCACCCGGCCAAAAGTGGGATGGCTCTCAAACATCATTCAAACAAAGATCGCCAAGATCAATATCAATCGCTATAGTAGGTTGAAGACCATATCGCTATTAGCTTGGAGGCCATCGCTAGTAGGTTGGAAGCCTCCAAAGGGTTTGGATGTTGGTCATCCTGTAGGGAGCAAACTCATAGGACTCATGGGCCCACCTCCGGAGCTCAAGGGGATTTGTCAACTTGGTCTCAGTGGATGGGGCGGAGCGAGACTAAGTGCGTTCGACTTCCAACAAACCTGACTCTTTGACATGTACGGCGATCCTTGATAGAATATCTGACAGGCCGAACCCCGGTAATTGTTCGTTACCCCTTAGAGTGCCCTGGTAGATGGTAGATGTTGGCGGTCTTTCGTCCCACCAATCCCGGGATTTGCACGCCTGGTCATCGTGATACCTGGGGCGCACACCGCAGGAGCAAACGAACGGTGGCCGCGAGACCCATACGGGCGTGTGTGAAACGCGACACCGCAGGAGCTGGTGCTTCGAATGGAAAGAAAGGGGGGTTAGCTTTCGGGAGTTTTCTCAGGTTTTCTCTGACCTTCCTATAGAAGGTGCCTCTGAAGAAGTATGGCTCGGTCATTATACACTTGATTTGAACAGGTGTATATATATATATGAATATATACATAGTTGAGGAGATGTTGGGGGTTGGGCCACCAAAAGATTTGATTCGGCTACTTAGTGGCATACCCCAAAGCGTGTCTTTCTTGGTCCAATGGCGCCGGGACACTTCGGAACGACCGGGTCGTTCGTGCGCTCGGTGTATAGAATTGAGGCCTTCGTTCGCTCGGTGACGGATGTCTTTCTTCCGGCCCGGCCATGGTTCCTGAACCCTTTCTGGGCGGCCGCGTGCTCGGAAGAAGGTTGGTCATGCTCGGAATGAGGCGCTTCATCCAAATACTCCTTGAGTGATTGGCAGTGAATGGTAAGATGATGTAACATGGTTATTATCACTCGTTCTGGTGGAGGCAGGCTACTGGGTTGCAGACAAAATCATCAATTCTACCTGCTAGACGCGGATCACTCGAATTTTGCGCAGCGCTGCTGGGTGGCGCCACGGCCTTCCACAAGTCTCCTCAATTTTGAGGAACACGTTTGTACAACCTCAAAGTGCCCTTGAAGTGGATACATGTACTGTTTCTCCTCGTGGCTGGGCCAAGCCCCAGCCAACCACCTCCTGTCAAATGGACATTGACATAATTGACATAAAATTGAAATAGATACAAAGTCACCCGAGCCCTGCAAAAACCTCTTTACCGACCTTTTTTGGCGTCGTGACGTCTTCCCCCTCTCCGAATCGTGACCCGCACAGATGTGCCCACTGCCCTCCTTCCCAAAAGCCTCTATGTATAGTATGGAATAGTTGCATTGACTTACATGCATAGGGTCACTAGGAGCAAGAAGCTACTAGGAGCAAAGGGCATCGCTACTAGGAACAAGGATGCTACTAGGGGCGCTCCTGGCCGTACTACTAGGAGCAAGAAGCTACTAGGAGCAAAGGAGACTTCAAGAGTAAAAACAAGAGTAAACACAATATATGTGTTTTAATGGTTTGTTTGTAACTCTTAGAGTCTCCTTTTCATGGTCTGAAATTCGCTTCGCACGTCCTCATGCACCTCTCCAAACCCCTCGCGGGGACGGCAGGCCCCAGTCCAGTCCGGCTCGGGCCATGCGACAAGACGAACTCGCGGAAGGTCCCATGGATCTTTCTCCGATCGCCCAGCACCGAATCGTAGGGCGCACCCTGCGATCGCGTGGCGGACCGAATCACTGGGTGTTGAATCAACATCGGACCGATACAACATGTATCTAAACGGCTAGGGGTGTGCTGGCTCCAGGGAGTCAAGTCCAGAGGGAGCCTTGCATAACATTCCTCTGAAAGAATAAGTTGGAAACCTTTTGAGAACCTTTGCCTTGGAGGTCTTGACATACCAACCCCAACCAACCCCTAACAATACTCTTTGGGGCCGCCGCTTCGAAGCGAGCCGGCCGGTTGTTGATCATATTTGATGCCTCCCAGGCAGGTTCACCCAATCATACTCAACGCATTACTGAGCTCCTGAAAGTAGGCAGTACAAAGCAAAAACAGGCATAAACCAGAAAGTTACAAGCTGGTATAGTTGGCTCAGCAAGTTACCCAACCCCCTTTTCTCCCATCCACTGTTCCAAGCCGTAGCGCCTTGGCCAAACAGCTGCGCTGGATGGCATCAGGTGAAGGGTTCACCTCATCGTTGTACAGCACCTGCAATGTGTGGTGGAGCCAGTCATTCTGAGCATTTTGGGGACATTCGGGGCAGCTGGAGGCTTCCTCAACAAGATATCAATTGCAATACTGCACCATAGAGAATCTACCTGTGTTAATCTTTGAAGTCCATTGCAATTGTTGTGTTTGATAATTGCACTCGACAATCAGGAACGGTATATTATATTGTGACAAGAAAAACATTATTTGTTTTCCAAAACACTACTCGAGATTAGTAGGCTAGTAGGCAACGATTTTTTTCAGTTTTCAGGGAGTCGACAAAAGCTTTGACAGAAACGAAGTGACCGTCCTTGAGATTCCAGAGAATGAGGTCACTTGGTCACTTGGAGGTCAGTTTTAAAGGTCCTGGTATGTGTATTTTTTAAGGGTACGGTGTGGTGCTTGTCGGTTGCCTTTGGTTGCCTAGGTGGATCTTGGCCTGTTACGAGCAGGCCTCAAACTCTCAATGTACGTTTTTCGTTCTGGACTCCACATGATGACGTTCGTTGTGACCTTCCATGAGAAACACGCGAAGAACCCATCACAGCCAGCCCTGCTGAAACCCTTCCAAGATCTTCCAAGTCTTCGCGCACTTAGATCTGAAGCTTATGACCATTGGCTTCATACCGATGTCGCACATGTGCTGTGCCAATCTGTTAGGGCGTGGCACGCAGGTGGCACGCCCACCACGCCTTGCCCAAGAGAGTGCGGCACACCAGCATCACGGAATGACGAGTCAAAGGTTCCACAGCTCCACGGGTGTGGGCAGGCGCAGGAGGGACGGGCACCTGCGGAACAGTGGTGCAACAGTTCAAGTGAGTTCGGCACTTTGGATGATGGGCCCCCTGAAAGGGACTTGGGATGTGTGCACATTGTGCATGGTTTCCTGATGTTTCCGGTTCGCCCAGGACGACGCCATGCAGAATCTCTTTCAACGTGCTGGAGAAACAGCTGTTGCTAGTGGGATCTGAGCGTGACATGCTGGGAGGGGAAAGCTGCATGGCCCTGTGACCTGGCTCTAAGTGATCTTCCGTTTGACTCGTCGGTCAAGCATCTCAGTCTTCCCAACCACCGAACCCCCAAACGTCCAAAACGCTGCGAAGGGGTCCAAACACCAACTGACGTTCCCTCAACAAGACCTTCCAAGTTTGCACCAATGCCGATCATCACTCTGCCACGCGCTGCCACGCGTGCTTTTAACACCAACAAGCCAAGAGAAGACCCGTCCCCCAGCGACTCGACAACGACGGGCTCGACGCGCCGGTGTTGGACTGACCGACCCCACAAGTGCAATGATGGGGCACTCTCCCGCTCCCCTGGTGCCAGGCTAAGCCCGAGGTGTTCGAAGAACGTGGCCACAATGGCGAGCTGAGTTGGAGGAATTACCCGGCGAGGATCCATTTTCAGTGGCACAGTGGGGGACACGCATGGACTGAAGAATCCGTGTCTTCTCGTGATGGCCATTCCGATGGTTGAGACACCACATCCATTGCCGCACCTGGGAACGATCTTCCTTCACAGATTCCTCCTCCGGCCGTGTGCCACGAGGGCCTTCCCCATACTCATCCGACCTCGACCAGTGGCGTCAAATCCAGGTGTTGATCTATGGTTCAAGGAGGTTCAAGGATGTTTGATGTTCACCTCCATCCTAACGGACAGAATGGCGACTGCAAAGAACAAGTGCGATAGGATCAAAGGAACTTGGTGCCGGAAATCGAAGTCTGCCGTTTTGGAGCTGACCACTAGTCCTACTACCATGTGATCAGAGCCCCAATCCATCAAATCCAAAGAAACCCGTGGCTTAACTGTGGTTGATCCATCATTGATTTGGTGCTTGTTCGACTGCAAGCGTGGTTGGATCGCTTTTTCCTTTAAAAATCCTTTAAAGGAATATGGTGTCCCACCCAATTCGTGACTATCAAGGACTTTCTCTTCACAGGAACCCTGCCAGCCTGTGCGCTGCCACAGGGGGTTCGGAAAAGGCTCTCAAGCGAAATTCCTCAACAGTCAGGAGGCTTTACAAACCGTTGATGATGTTAAACTATAATATTCAAAGTCAACTTCAGCGGGTCTTCCTTACTGTCAACCTTCTGAAGAGAAACCAAAAACACAAAACAAACACACATTACCCAACACTGGCGTTCGCGCGCATTGCTCTGGCGCAACAGCTAAGAACCTGACTTACTCACCTCGGCTTGCAAAGGATCAGTGTGCCCGGACATGCCCGCACGAACCATCTATCTTGAAGTCTGATGATTATGTGTGGGATGGTCACAATCAATTGTGTCCCAACAAGACATGGGATTGCTAGGTCCCTCAAGATGCCCGAATGGGGTGACTTTACTCATGTCCCTCCCTTGTCGCCATGCAAGAAGGCAGGAGAGATGCTTTTCCGTCGGCCAGGCAGTTCCAGTCTGGACCCCATGTGGATAATAAGACCTGGTGTGGATATGATATATATATATATATACACATAAGACGAGCGTACGCGCGTGTATTGCTTGGCCATTTTCTGTCGAATCAGTCCAAATGGTGCAGCCACCACCCCAGCTAGAAACTCGGGCGTGAAGACTGTGAAGACTAACATGTTCTGGATTTCCAGTCAGACTAATTTTCACATGAAACAACAATCATCAACCAAACCTCACCTCAGACTTCAGCCTGCCTCTTGAGCAAAACTCCTCACGGGAGGACAAACAACCTACTATATGAGGCAGTGGGAGAGAAATGATCTATAATATATATATATATATATAGTTAGTGTGGAAGGACATCGGTTTGTACAAATGATCACTAAAATTCCCACCTCCCCGGGATCCATGCTAATGACACACGGTTCACCTCTCTCCAGTTGTTTCCTATCACGAGGCCATCATCTTGCCCAGGGGCGTTCTCAGCCAAGTAAATCCCCTTGCCGTACAGGGTGCCCGCGTTGGAGCCTGTGAGGTCCAGGCGAAAGTCGTTCTCCGCCTCGGAAGGGGACTTCTGCCGTGGAAAAGTTGAGAAGCTCCAAACTGGCCGGGGAATGCAGCCAACGGAATGGAACGCGTTGGTATCAGCGACCTTTGATTATGTGAGTGAATTATTGAAAACCTGGAAAACTGAGCCCTAGCTGGGTTGTACTTTTATAACTTTTTTTAATCATGAATTTAAAAATAATCCCGGCAAAAGACCTCAAACAGTGTGTCTAAAGGTCTACGGTCTAAGGTCAAAAGGTGTCGAAACACAAGATCTGGATCTACACGTGCTGGGCTGAAGAGATGGGTGATGGTGGTGATGGCGGTGATGGCGGCGGTGGTGGTGGTGGCGGTTGTGGTGGTGGTTGTGTTGGTCGTGGTGGTGATGGTGATGGTGGTGGCCCTGGTGATGATGGTGGTGATGGTGGCGATGATGTTGATGGGTGATGATGGTGGTGGAGGTGATGATGGTCCAGAGTTCTAGAGTTCTATATAGAAGTGAAGAGAGATGTCTGAGAACACATATGAAAGAACAGCGCGCCTCCCACGATATCTGCGCTTCAAGACAAACCACTGCGCCTGCCACAGAATCTACACTTCAAGACCTTCAAGATCCACAAAATACCGCGGCTGCCACGAAATCCACAAGTCAAGGTCCAAAATGTGCTGTGCATGCCACGAAATCTGCACTTCAAGGTACAAAGTGTTGCAACTGCAACGAAATCTGCACTTCAAGGTTCACAAAGTGCTGCGCCTGCCACGAAATCTGCACTTCAAGATCCACAAAGTACTGCGCCTGCCACGAAATTTTCATATCAATATTCACATCGAAGGCAATTTGCTGCAAGAGCGGCGCTTCCAAAGCCAACATCAAGATTCCAAACGCAGCTTTCGCTAGAGAATGGCTAAAAAAGTGCAAAACAAGCCACATGTCCAAGTCACGATGCACTGCACCTGCCACGAAATCAAAGCACAGCGAAGACCACCGCCATGTCCAAAGTATCCTGGCACGAAATCTGCGCATCGACATAAAGCCGCCTGCACCTGTCACGAAAAGCCGACTTTAGAGCACCAAAAAAGGGTTTCCCCTGCGCCTGCCACGTGATGTGATCACCAAGTCCGAAAATTTGCATGGCACCACAACGAGAGCAGAGTCTCGAAGAGCACCCGCTCGGGCCCAGCAGATTCTGCGAGCCTGCGCAGTCGAAATGCGCTTCGAAGATCTCGAGGGGAATGAATGTACTGTAAATAGCAGCGAATTAGCCGAACACGCCGATGAGCACCTCCGATCAAACACCCGTCCTTAACCATTACCGGAAGAACCCCGGCCTAGTGTTACCACGTTGGGGGAAATATATAGTGTGTATATATATATATATATCGAATATGCTTAAAAACAAAGAATAGTCTTTTTGAGGGGAGTTCACACACATGTTCTATAACAATCTGTTGATATCTGTTGCATGAGTATTAGTGGATTCCTTATACAGGTTCCCCCCCCTCTACTCACTCTCAATGCTCGCCATGTGGCAATGCCAGCCTGGGAAAAGGCAGGGCTCGGTCTGAAGAAGTCGTGATCCGACACTCTGAAGACATCACATGAAAGTGGATAGGCCCCCCAAATCCCATTTGTGTTGTTTTGGCCTCCGAAGCAATACTCTCAGGTTGAGTTGCCCTCCGGATCTGTTGCATCCGCTGTTGCCCTCCGGATCCGCTGCTCAAGGTTCGAATTAAATGGAGATTGCTTCGGTCAAACGAGATGAGATGCAACTGTAACATGAAACAACGTTTCGAGAAAGTAGGGATGTGACATCCAGCCCATACTACAGTATAGTCTAGTGACATTATCAATAATATCCTTTCAACAAAAAGGGGACCGGCTGTTCTCATCGCCAACGAGTTTTGTAAGACAAGGATTCTCTGACGTGCAGTCATGACCGTCAAATCAGGGGTTGTCAAACGGTCAGCCCAACATTGACATGCGCGAAGGGCTAAGGGAGAATAGGTTTTGGTGGCCCGTGGCCACAGGGGCGAAGGGGTCTGGATGGTTCTGTCTGATTGCATGAGTGTGTAGAATAACAGCTTGGAAAATCAGCACATGATCTACTGGAATATGATGGATTATGTACTCAATCATGATGGTTCTTTTCCTTTTTCGAACCTGCTTTTCTATCTTTGAGCTATCTTTGCAAACGCAAACTGCAGCCGTCCTGTCAACCCTCAACCTCAACATCATCCTGCAATATCCTGCACAAATCATCACCTTCCTGGGTTGAACAGGTTTCTATGTCAATCTTCCACTTGGCCAAAGTAGCTGCAGCTTCAAAGCTTGTCCCATGGAAGAGCCAACACCTTAGGACGAGGGAGGCTCTGGGCTGGACAAGAGGACTCCACTTGCCAACGCCCACTGGACGAGTTTGATGGTGTGCCATGGTAAGCACGGAGTTGCAGGAGAAAAGAAACTCTTTATGCGATCTTCCAAAGCTAATTCGTATTTCAACAGGGAAACCTCCCAACTAATCTGTACACTGGTCTATTTTCCCAAACCTTCCAACCGGTCGGAACGAGTCGTCGGTCTCCCTTTTTTGAGCTACACACAGGCCACGCTCGCCATGAATGCGGAAAAACACGACGTCCGAGCCAAGACTTCATGCAGGTTGTCATGCTGGTTTCCTCAGTGTCCTCAGAAATAGGTCTTCTCCAAACGTGATCTTTCTCGCTGGCTTAACTTCAACAGGTTGTCTTTTCTGAAACAGGGCATCCTCAGAAAATCGGTCTCCCTCCTGCTTCCCAACAGTGATTGTTTGATTGTTTGCTTAACTTGCTGAAACATTTCACACCGGAACCCACTGGTGACTAATATGGAAAAGAACACATGTCAGGAAAACAATAAGAAACCCAAACTTCTAAATTACACTATACTTCAAGCTATCCCCGCCTGCCGGTGCGGCCTTGTCTGGATTCCACATGTATTCCGTGTGTCGGCCGTTGGGCTGATGGGACCAGCCGTGTCCAAACCAGCCGTGTCGCTCAGCAACTTGAGAGTCCAAGTGTGGCAAGCGACCTGGGCGAAAGGGGAAAGTCTACGGGCGAAACATCAATGGAAGTGGACCATCACTCTGATGAACACATACACTCTGATGAACACATCACATGGAAGTGGAGCATCCCCTGTCCGTTTCTGGAAGGAGTCTTCGATGGGACCCTTTCCATTTCTGCCATCCACGAAACCATGTGATTTCGTCATGTCGGGCACCCATCAGGGCGGATCAGGAATGATCAGGACCGTTGTGAAACAAAGATGCAAATAATAAAGATGCAAAAGGGCATCGCCACTAGTAGCAAGGGGATTACTACTAGGAGCAAGTAGCTACTAATTAGTAACAAGAAGCTACCAGTAACAAAGGGCATTATTACTATAGTAGCGTTCTTGCAAGCAAAAAGCAACATCGCCGTCGATCCAGCTTTGAGAGGTCCAGTTCAGGGGGGAGATGGCAGAGATGTTGGGACTTATAGCCCTACAAGTCAATGACTTCGTTTTATTGGAGTTGGTCATACAAAAAACACTGCTCGGTCGGGGAGATATAAAACAAGGTTTTACTAGGTCTTTGGACTTGTAGGGTAGTACTGTACTTGTCTAAACAGCCCGAAACCTTCGGACCCTCGTCCCTGCAGCGAACATGGACGTGCCGTCTGACCGTCTGGCTGCTTTGCCTTCAACCTTCCAGGGGGTCCATTGTTGTGCTAGTGCTGGCCTGAATAGTTTCTTTGCGATCGCTTGACGCCACTCGGACAATGACTTCGTGACCAGCGAAACGATCGTTTCGTCACCCTGAAACCTTTCCGAATTTTGAACTGTGGGATGCCCACAACAACCCACACTACAGGTTTTCGGCAAAAGCCAGCCGTCTATTGACTGAGACTCGTCTAGCCTCTGCTACAGCTTTTAACTCGGTGTTTCAGCAAAACTGGTTGCCACGACCACATGGCGCTTGTGCTTGATATCTTTTGACCAGTTTCAGTATCCGATGTGATCGATCCTCCCCACAGGCAACCACTACCTGAACCATCCGATGGGTGTCCAATGGACCAGATCCCTAAGTAGTGTATATAGAGTAGTCCATAGGACACCCAATAGGATGGTCTTGGTAGATGCTTGAATGATTCTTTTGAAAAGTGGACCAGTGCAGGAACTAGAGGTTTCCTTCGTATCCCCATCTGTTCCACTCTTGGAGAGGTGCTTATTCAGCATGCAGTTCTTCAATGAATCACGATGAAGAACTAATAACATCTTGAATGTTTTGGGCCGGTGTGCTTCATCTGTCATGGCCAACGGCAGGTACTTGACCTTTTGATGATGATGCAACACATCTGGCCAAGATATTCCCTATGGATTCAAGTACCTTCTCAACTACGGTGATTGGAGACACTGTTATGTAGGTTTGGAGGGTCCAAGTACCTTCTGGAATCGAAGGTATGTGGATCCCTAGATATTGATTCAAAGTGTTTCGTTACACCCTGAGAACTACCCCGATCCAGAACATCTGCTGTCGCGGACAGTTCTCTGCTTTCTCCGCTGAACAACTGGTTTGGACAGGGTACAAACCGACGCCGTCGTTTGGGATGTAACGCCGCCCGTTCTTTCCATTTTTTAGTTTTGTATGTTGGTATGAGTTGGTGGAGGAGGCCCACTTGCACGTCAAAGAAGAACCAAAGGAAACACATTGACACAGTGTGCTGTGTTTTCCATGTTTTCCGCTTTCCAATCCGTTAATACTTGTCAGGACACCGCCTTTGCTCGGAGATGTCACACATGTCACATAGCTACCGTTGGACACGGCAGAAGATCATACAAGATCTGAAAGACCAAAGTTCCACGAAGCACGTCGAACGTCAAGTCGAACGTCCAACGTTCACGTCGCGTCCGTCGACATCTGCGGCTGATTGGCTGCGGCCCATGCGCCGCAGGGATTCACAAAAGGCGTGCCTTATGTGGTGCCGAGGCGGGGCCGGCATAGGGGGGTGAAAGGCCTTTACTCTGTACCCAAAGAATCCCAAAGACATGGGAAGTGGACTTGGGGTGCTGAAGAGATGGTGATGCTTTCCCGTGTTTGGACAGTTCTCCAGGTGACATTTCAGTGAGTGTGAGCGTGTCTTGGTAGGATTTGGTTGGATTTGGCATCATGAAACCTAACAGGACAATTTCACAAATAATATATATATATACAAAAATGTGCATATATATAATATATAATATATGCACAATGCTTTTGAAAAAGAGCTCTTCAGGGTTTAGAAGGGGCTTGATTCATTGGTATATAACAGGATGAAATAGGGCATCTCCTCAACTTCGTGAAAACAGCCACGATGCCCCAGGTCGGTGCCCTTCCAGTGATCGGTGTTTCGGCTGGCTATACACTGACTGGCTATGTACGCCTCTAGTGCTTGTGACGCTCAGCGTCTCCACTCACGCGAGCCATCGTCGCCGAACCCATGACAACAGAGTCGCCGAATATGGTAACAAGGTTCGCTACGAACGGATCAAAGGGCATCGCTACGACGGGGCTCCTGGCCTTACTACGAACGGAGCAATGTTCGCGAACGAAGATTTGTGACGGTCAGCTCCTCCAAGTAACGTTGCAGGGCCGTTGGGCACCTGCTCCTCCAGCGCGGGGCAGTTCCAACGAAGGAGGCGCAGGCGTTCGCGATGCCTCACAGGTGACAGCACACGAAGCGAGTTGACTGGACTGGTAGGCCCAGGCAGAATCCATTTAGGAGTGGAAATCAGCTAAGCAGGATCCTTCACTCTGGGGGACAAACACAGCTATAGGTAGTTCAATGGACCATTCAACGCAACTGCTAAAGCCTTGAGAAAGACTTCTCTTAGGCACCTATGCAGTGACAGGCTTTAAACAATGTCCAAGGCCGATTGCTGAGCTGCAGAAACAGTCTCATCAACTCTACACGCTCTGAATACGCTGAGTGATACTCTCTGCAGCAGTCGATGTTTGAGTCGCCAAAACGACAGCTGTGGAAGCCAAACGAGCGTTGTCTTTGGGTCATTGATCTACCAGCCTGCAACATCAGGGTTCTTTGGCCCTAACGCACCAGTGAAGTCGGGTGAACTCTGTGAAGTCGGGCGATGGTATACATCTTTATTACACCCTTTCAAAGAAAACCGGTGGGCGACCTGTTTCCCGCAGACGTCTCCAAGCATTCTTCCTCAAGAATGCTCGCCGAGTCAGCGAGTACGACCGAGCTCGCCTCAAATACTCGCGCCAGACCTGGACAAAGAACGTCGGACGGTCGTCTGGATATACTCAGAACGCATCATGGATCGCCTCAGAACTCTTGGCCCAAATCTGTTTGAGAAGCTTTTGATAGCTGTTGTTGGCTAATTATCTCTCAACCATATGGGATGTTTGCCAGTCCTCAACCGATGGGCTACGACTCGATCAACGAGTTCACAAGTCTCTCCGAGTGCCCTCTTTTGGACTGATTGTCAACTTGGATTACGTCAGGTTCAATATGGTTCCAGTGCATCACTTGTATTATTCCAGCATCCATGACACAAACAACTACCAGCCTAGTATATCTTGTTTTTTTTACCGTGTATATATCTAATGTTGAACAATCGATATAATTGAATCCATATTCTGTAAAGCACTGGCCGAGAAAACTTCTAATTACTACGTACAGCATAATATGCAATAATATATATATATATTATATATGTATGCGTCTCAGGCAATGTATACCTCTTGCAGTGCCCCAACTCAGCTCGCAATGCCGCGCCTGATCATTTAGGACACCTGAGAGTTACGAGAGAACGACTCACTTTGGCATCGAACATGGCTGGGGTGAAGTGGACATCGCTCGCAGGAACTCGAAGAACCCGTCGGATCAATTCAGAAAATGAACGCGGTGGATGACTTCAATATGCATCTGGCAGAACACGGGCAATTCAGCTTGGGAGTTCGATTCACATGATTCAAAGCATCAACCTATAGCGAGTCGACTCCGGCATCGGCTACACACACACAAAAGACTTGGCTTCGATCCAGCTTGCTTCCAAAACATCCTTTTCTCACACGTTCCCCACACACGTGGTCTTTTGAGGAGGACATGTGATGTTTCTGCGCCAGGCTGCGGTACACGTCCGTCACCTGGCTGAACATGGAAGTGGAACACGTGGTCACCGGTGGAGGGTAATGGGAGACGACATGATGCTCTGCTGGAAAGAACATGGCCTACCAATGCCTACAGCACCCTGGCCTCGGAATTGGATGTTCTTGGGCAATTGGAGTTTTCAAGGAACGATTTGGCCCTTGGAGTGGATCATGGGCAACCCTAGCCTCCAATCACCCTAGCCTCCATATAAGTACTACGTACTTCTGGGATCTTGTCTTCTTGCTACTCGTGTCGCCAGATTGCCAGAACACCTGTCACTGGCTGGCAGCTAAGGACTACCACCGCTGAATGCCGTGGCATGCATGCTAGCACGACATTTTGTCAGCAGTGAAATTCAAGGCACTAAGTCACTATGGCCTTAATCCAACATAATAATGCGCGGATATGTGCGGCCATGTTTCCTAATGATTCGAAAGCCTACCGTTGCCCTCTGCCGACCATCGATACCAAGACCATCCAAATCCTGGATGCCGAACGTCAGATTTTCTGGTCCAAGCCATCTCATGTTTCTTTCCACTCTGCCTTCCAAAGGTTTCAAGTGAATCACATCACCTCTGCCAGGACCCTAAAGGGGTGTCACACACTTGGCCCTGACAAAAAAAAGAACATATTCCTGGGCGGACATAGGCCGTCTTAGACCAAGGGCTCTTAGAGGGCTCTGGTTTTCACTTGCCGACCAACGGGGAGGTTGAGAACGTGTCGCTCAGATGTGTTCTCATCGTTCGCATCCAACGAACGCCGAGCCGGTCCTTCAGCCGGTCCGCCAAGGGAGCTCCCCGCCGGTCGCGCGTGTAGATCTTTCGGAAGGTGGAATCCTGGGCGGGCATGTGGCAGCGCGGTTAATATATATATATATACTAGCTGGGAAGGTCCGTGAAACGAAGTAAGAGTGTTTTTGGAGTTGTTACACCGTAAATTGAGTGAGGCAGGTGGAATCCTGATGCGCTTTAGAATGAATGGCTAGATTTTCAGTATACAAGCAACATGTTTGGGACATCCAGCATCACAATCCGCAAACTAATATCAAGGATCAAGGATAGGGGAAACACACACACATGCAAATACGTGCAAATAGGTACAGTTGTGTCTCATGTCATACAAGAACCCCCCTAAAAACAAAGGGGGTGCTAAATCAACCTCAGTTGTCCGGTACTACAGATAGTGCTAAATCGCCCCTGCGGTTTTCGCATGAGTTGGCCGTTTCGGGGTCCCAAGGGCCCAAACACCGACTCCGGTCCCAGCAGGTCGTTTCTGAGGGTGTTTGACCGAAGAAGACCACGAAGCTCCCCGGTTTGAGCTTTCCTGGAGGAAACCGTCCAGGTGTTTCCTTCCACATGGATCCTTTTTTGACATGGAGCAACACTGTTTTTGGGTTGCTTGGGGGTACCTGGGCGGTATGCCCAGGGCGCTGTCAACCGCTACAAAGACCAGAAATGATCTTTGATACCATACCGGTCAGTTGGAGCTCCTCTCAATGAACTGAGGTCTTGGCAAAAAGACCTTGCATCTCCTGGATCATCTCCTGCCGTAGCTAGAACGCCAAAATGAGTCCATGTGCGGAAGGGAGAGTTGCAGCTGTGGCGAAACTGAGGGCAATTGGACGCAATTGGTGTGATATGGCGGTGAACTAAAGGAACTGCCGGCATAGCTCAAACATAGGGGACCACCCAGTCATCCAATGGAAAACAGGCTGAATTTTGGAACACTATAATATATATTCCATGCATCTTCCATCATATGCACATTTGCTAGTTACTAGTTACTGTCATTGCACCAAACAGCACTGTGTTTTGCTTTTTTCAAACCAAAACTGGTGGAGCCAGGTATTCCATGGATGGTCTGGGTATGCGAGTTCCACCATCAAGTGTTGACCATGAAAACTCGCTGCAAAGTAATTCAAATCAGGAAAACTCGCTCAAAAAGGGCGGTTCAAGATTTTTTGGTTTTCCCAAGACATGAATGTTCTTTTGTGACTTCCCCAAGTTCAACCTTATCAAATGGCGCATCATGAAACAAGGGCATCACATGGCGCTCAAAGTAAGATAGGATTAATAATAATTAAGAGACCATAAGACATCATAAGGCTGTAACAAATCCTCACAATCCAACAGTCACCTGCACTGAACCTGTTACATCCACAAGAAAACCATACGATCCAAGGAGATCCAAGCCGCAAGTGACTGACCGGCCCGGTCTCCGGACAGCGATGCTTGGCGCAGACCGTGCCGCTTTGCCGGCCCCCCATGGGGCCGAGCAAGCGCTGGCCGCGGCAGAAGGAGAGGAGATCCTGACCCCGCCGGCGCGCCAGCACCGAGGTCCGCGGCTGGGTGGAGCCGAGGAAACGGTTTTAACACGGAAAACACGGGAAAGTGGGATTCTGATGGATCATACTGCAGGATGTATGCTGTTGGATGCATCCTACACGCCGCATCCTTTCCTGTCCATTTGTATTGAAATGCAGTGGGCAGAAGTATGAAGGATAGACAACGAGAAGAAAAGTAGAGCAGAACACTGGTACTCGGCTGAACATCAAAAAACATGGGAATAAAGTATAAAGCATTGAGAAGGCTTCACATAGCATCAAGGAGAATAGAGCAAGGCGGAGCCATAGTCTATAAGGAACATGCTAGAACAGAAGACTGTGAGGTAAACTAGAGGAGGGTGGAATGCAAGCCTAAAGACTGAAGAGAGAGTGGTAGGCCAGAATCAATTGGCAGTGTAGACGGAATGCAAACACCGAACTGCACAAACCAAGATCCGGTCAAATTATTGCAAAGAGTGTGCACATGAACAAACGTGGATCAAATCTCAAGACTTCCAGAACCAGTCGGAGACTTCTTCGGAAGATTCGGACTTGTTCATAATACTCAGAGTCGGGCGGACTGGTTCAGAAAAGAGTTCAAGTCCAGCAGGATGTAAACGATGCACAAATAGACATGTATTATCACTTTATGTATATATGACTGAACAGCAAATTATGTTCTCAACAGCATGAAGAATGCCAATGGTGACGGACAATGCTTTATGTGGGCTTTAACATGAGAATCTGTCCCAGGCGAAGTGCATTGACCACTGCCTTGGTTCTGGCACATGACTTGCAGTGGAGGCGTGAAACTGGAAGTAAGATGCGAGGCGGCACCACCCCTGGTCGGAGCATTTGCACGGTGCTGTGTCACTCTTGTCATCGCAAACTCATGTGCAAGCAACTTTGGCTCACCCAGCTTTGTGACATGCTGAGCAGGGTGGCCTCCAACATGTGACGCCCCTTGGCCTCGCAAAAAAGGTTTCTTTGTGTGAGACTCTCTAAAGCCTGCAGGGGGCGGTGCATATACATTGGGTGTATCAGATGCGAACAATGGGGCCTGTTGTGGATGGTGATGGGGCCTGGTTGCAGGCCTTCCTCTAAAATAGTGATGTTCTTGTTTACCGACTGTTACAGGTAATAGAACACCCCCCAACATATATACAAACAATGCATGATTGAACGTGTCCACATAAAAAAATACTTACTTGGCGGTCATCTGGAGACATTGGTGGCATTGCCTGGAGGACACCCTGAAAAGCTTTGTACAGCAACAAGGAACCTGGAGATCGATGACTAATCAAGGGTGTCTGAGCCTATTGCATACATAAAACACTGTAAAATATGATGTTTTCAAGGACATGCAAGGCAAACCTTAAAGCCCTACCAACGCCCACTCTCAAAACTAACCAGGGGTGTGCATTTAGAAAGAAAACAAACCTCCTTGATAAAATGCCCAAAAACATACAAGAACATACAAAGAACTCATTGTGGTGGGGGTTCCTAGGTCCCTGTGCCCTAACCGAGCCCGAAACGATCCTCACGATCCTCAGGTACTTTGGGAGAGAGTCTGGAGGAAAGCGCTGAATCCGATGCTTTGGAGGTTGCAAGGTGGTTGCTATATGTTGCTATGTTTGATCTTGTCCTGGCGTTTTAAGAGTATGTGCCATGGAACAAGCTACTCATAATGAGTCTTCGACCCAAAGTTCCGGCAAAATGTGTAGGCACAAGGTGCTCAAACCTTGTTCGGTATCTGCGAACTCAGGCGACATGCGGATCCGAATCCTCAGATCCGTTTACAACGAACAAAAGAAATAGAGTGATTTGTCAGAGTAAATGACACAATCCCCCAAGTTTGGTGATTTAGATGAACCTCTATATGGATAGCTTGGGGTCTGTGCCATCTACTCTGAAACCACTGCACTGTAGAACAAGCAGGAAGAGTCTCCAAACACAACAATGGAACACATATCTTGTGCTTCGATCTATAAAGTCTATTGGAACTACTAAATGGCATTACTAGTAACAAGAATCTAACAAGAAGCAACTAGGTGGAGGCCATCGCTATTAGGTTGAACAAAGGGCATCACTGCTAGTAGCAAGTATGCCTCGATTGATCTCTTACAAGCAAGTGTTGCTGAAAACAACGCTGGAGTCGAGTCGCCTTGGAAAACATCGGACCCTTCCAAAGAGGTCACCCAGTAGGCAAACGTTGCTCACACCCGCTAACAAAAACCCTTAGATGGTCCATTTACAAGTCAATATTACACCCACATGTGCGCACACACACACACCAAAAAAGAAACAAGAGTAAAACAAAATAAAAAATAAAAACTCTAGCTCGAGAGCTATGTAGGGAACAAGGGAAGAAACACACCGGTCCGTTCCATCCCAAAGAAATCCGCAAGCTTGCAGCCTGATGGCGAATCTTGATACAAGAAGCGGTTGGCCAAGTAAACACTCTTCAACGCATTGCACACCTCGGTTCCGTTGCCTTCTGCGATCAACTGGAGCATCCAAGAAATCGATCAATCATAGGTGGGGCCCTGCTGGATGATTCAGGACGCACCATTGGGGAGAGGATGTACGAGGATATGCAAAAACATGCACACCTGAACTGGAACTATAAAGCAAAGGCAGCAAAGGTCATGTACTAGGCAGCGTTGGTCAAACCATGTACTAAGTTACTAGGCAGTCTTTTATTGCTTCCGGACTCTGGGCCGAGAAAGCCAGAATTCAAGCAACCCTGGTGACTCATGGTCCGAAAGAACCCCCCGGAGGGAGGACTTTCATTCCATCCCATTCCCACCAAGCTTTGATTCAATCATCTTCCTACAGTCCAAGGTCAGAAACCCCCAAAAAACAACAGGTGGTGAACAGTCTCTCTGCATAAAACAAACCATCTCACAAAACAACCAAAACTGGCTCACACCTCAAAAATACCCTGATACCGCAATAAATCAGCCTCTCTCAAACATCTTTTCGGTACACTTCGAAGAGAACTGGGTCCTTAAATCTGATCTTCAAGGTGCTGGTGCAGGGCCCATCGCAGCCAGGAAGGCCTCCAAGGGCACCCCGTTTGCCCGGTGCACCACGCACAGGAAGGTCCCGGTGTTTCCCTCAACTGGTGCGAAAACGTAACTTGGGAGTGAGTCAGTTCGAGTGCCCAGTACGAGTCATAGACTATTTGATGATCTGATTCTTAACAAAAAACAATGAGCCTGCAAATGTAAAACAATTCGATAAGAGGCAAAGGGGTTTGATTCATCAACAGTCCACTACATTACCGAGTTACCGCTGCTCTGGAAACACCTCGACCCCTTGTCTGGGCCATCCAATGAGTAGTGATGACTTCAAGTTCTGGATGTTCTAGGCTTCACACGAAACTCATGAACCTCATGCCATCGCGAGCACCCCCCCTGGATTGAAAACTACCATTCCCTAGGGATCCACATTGTCTCCAATCACCGTACCTGAGAAGGTACTTGGGGACTTGGATGCATACCTGGAGCCTGGAACACCTACCAAAATCTATGCGTTTTAGATTTTTTGATCGACCATCAACAAACACAATCCAAGACCTATGTGCCGGTGTCACAAAGGGCACTCCAGGGATTCCAAAGTGTATTGAATAACAACACCAAAGTTGTGCCATAAAGTTGAGCGTTTGCGTCGTTTTGTTGATCGTTTGCGTTGTATTTTTTGTTGTTGTTTCAGGTGGTTCACGCAACGGCGTTGTGTTTCTAGTCGTTTGTGTTGTGTTTCTAGTCGTTTGAGTCGTGTTTATAAATGTTGTGTTGTGTTTTTAAGCGTTTGGGTGTCTCCAGCTCGTTTCCGGCAAGGTTTCCACATAGCGAAAGCAGTCCTTGATCTTTTTTGATCGTTTTAGCCAAACACCCAAAAACAGAACACCAATGCCATGTGGTGTCTCAAAACTGATTGGCACTCAAAAAACGGTGATCGTTTGGGGTTCCAGGTAGGGATAGGGATTGATGTTTTTTGGGAACCATCGGAAGACTGACTAAGCCATGAGTCTACCGAATCAGGCCTCACGGCAGTGGCTTGTGGCCGCTGGTGCAAAGAGATCATCAAACTGTTGGGCAGTGGTATTGCAATAAACACAAACAAAGAGATGATCAAACCAAACAAAAAGACTCACTCTGACAGCTGCGAAAGGAAGAGCACCCTCGCAAAACACTCGTCCACTCATCCCTTCCTATCTCTTTTACCGGTCTCCTTCCATCTTCTTCCCGTCCCTTCTCTTCCCTTCCCTAGGCACCCACTCCTCCACCACGCCTGGTGCTTCTGCCTCACGCGTTGTGCCAATGCCCCGGCCACTTTCGGTGCTTGCGAGTTGGCCGAGACGTACAGCGGCTGATTGGCCTGACGTGCACCGTGCGACGATTGTGCCCAATTGGGATGGAAACCGTGGTAGATGGAGCACATGTACGTTTTTATTTAGATATATTGAGACTGGAAGTGGTTATTTGATATTATATATATACTGTATATATATTAATATTTCCTGCAATGGTTGAACGGTGATTTTTCCACTGCATCATGACATTCCAGGCTCAGATTTGGAAGATCAAGCTGAAACTGAAGAGTGCAAGACAACAAAAATAGTTTCAATAGCCAAGTCGCCAAATCAACACAATTGATACCCGGGGGTGCTGGGAAAAAGTTCCTTGCTCCTGCAGGGATTGCCTGGTTGCAAATTTACCTTCTACAGCGTTCTTGCATCCCAAACTAGCCGTCACGTCTTTCATGCAGGTGCATGTCCCGGGTGCAAATTCCTGGCTGACAAAAAAGACATATAACACACAACCAAACAACCAGCTGTGGAAGTGCAAGAAACCAACAAATTATTCCGGCAAACTTCCGCACCCGAGAGAGCACACAAATAGAGCATATTATGAGAGAAAAACTACGTAGAAACCACCAAAAAGCCAACTGCGCGATGCAAATCCACCACTCAAACTATC